AGTGGGATGATTTTGTGAAGGAAAAAATGTATAGATGATGGAGCACCACGAATGGATGGTTGTGCTGAAGTTTGATGAAGAATGCATACGGATACTTTAGTCATCTTCTAAGCATTGGGAAGGAAGGAGAAATTAAGCCTGTGAGCTTTCACTTTGGTCCTTTCCATCTGCCATTTCTTTTATTACGTGCTCATGCTGACTGCTGAGCTACCGCTGATCAGTCATATCACCCAGAACATGAGGGAATACCATACCACATACAGTAATACATAAGCACCATCTTGGCATTTACAAACGCATAAAATCACAAAGTCAACATAGTCAATAGTCTAGCTAAGTCAACAATTGGTTGGTTTTACCAGTTATCTTAAATCAACATCACATTGCCAATTGTCCTTCAAATCTACTCTATTTTAAGAATAACATAAATGCCTTTAGGGTTTTTAATTTGTCAGACAATTTACAGAACATTTTGTTAAAAGAAGGTGGTATTAATCTTCTGTTTCCTCCTCAGGCAAGATTTAGCAATATTTTACAATCTGTCTATAGGAAAAAAGATAAAAGCATGTTCTGAGAAAGCAAACGCCATCAATAAAATAAAAAATAATTTATTCAAGATTACAACTCCTCCCCTCAAAACTTCTGAAAAGAGCCCATATATTTTCATTTTTCTTTATCTCAGAATTTCCTACTGTTGCAATTTTCCTTTTGGTGTTTCAGATCCCCACCTCTAATTTTTACAGGAGATGGAATTTATTACTTCTCACAAATGTCATACTAGACCTCTAAACATTTAATAATACCAAAAATACTGGACTTTTAAGTGCTAGCACAAGGCAGTGACTGGAAGCTGAATCTACAGAAGGGGGTAAGGGCCACCATGCTCAGCTACGCAGTGCTGCAGCTCTGGTTGCTTGCCTGGTGCAAGGAGCGTTGTGGCTCCGAGCTTGACTCCTAGACTGGACACGGCAAAAACTAGTGGGCAAAGAAGGCTCTGAAAGTAGCCAACAGAACAAGGTGAGGGGCATATCTCTCCTCATTTTTGATTTTTAATGCCTTACTCCAGGCTGCAAAAAATTAGAATGATGTTCACAGCCATATCCTTCCTTCAACTGTGCAAGACCTTTCAAAATTTAAGCAGTGTCACTGCGGAAAGCAGAGAGATTGCTGACCCGTTCTCCCTTTGCCCCCATGGAGGGTGCGGGAGAGCTGGGTTCACTTTTCTCCGTCCAAAGGTGCTCAGACCCACATCTCCTGCCTGGGAACATAAGCCCCAAGACTATTCATTGTACGGAGGTGCTCCACTGTCCTTAGAGCAAACAAATACTGGGGCCAGAGACAAAGAGAAACTCCCTGTGTGAGCGGGCAGACACCCGTTGGAAGGAGGGGACCCCTCCGTGTCCAGCAGCAGCTTTGTTAAGGCAGGGCCATTGCACATCCAGCTTTTCTTAGAGACCCCTGTTTGTCTGGGGCTTCAGCTGGCAACCTGACCAGCTACACCACCGCAATTTGGAAAAGTCTCTTAAAGCGCAGGAAATCCCAGACATTTTCGTGACTCACGTACTCCTCAACGCACGAACACTAAGTCTGGCACTTCTAAAACATTTTGGGCTTCCCGGCCACCCTGTGCCTTCTCAGGAAGCACATATGCCACAGGTTTGGTGCTGTCGGGCAAACTGTGCACGAGTGAACTAGGGGTAACAGGGTAAAACAAAACATGCATGCGGCGTGGGGGGCTCTGCTGCTCACCACATTGCCGGTGGTTTCTGGCCAGGGTGTGTTGGACAGAAATACTGTCTAAAACATCAAAGCATTAGGCAGTGCAGGGTTCAAAGCCAGGTTTCCTCACTGCGATGTAGCAAACCCAACCACAGGCTGAGACAGTCATCTCTCCCTCTCCAGCTCCCCTCTGTGGCTTTGTTATTCCACACAACACAAAACAGCTTCAGCAAAAGAGGGGGAAGGAAGGTCCTTCCAGGCTGGCCCTTGGTGGGATCGTGAGGGCAGGATGAGTCCTGTTGGGCAGGCTACTGTGGTGCTCACTAAGACCTCAAAGTGGAACATATGGGGTTTTTTGTTCCTCCTGAGGTTGTTTCTGTGCAGAGCCGGATCTGCTGGGGATGCTCTGGCACATCTGGCTGGCCAGATGGACCAGGGATACCTAGACTGGTAGTGAGGTGAGTGCACCTGCGATAATAGCACCGGTCAGCATGTCGGTGGCAGTGGTGATGGTACCATGACCTGGAGATAACTATGTTGTGCTCTGTTGCACACAGCCAAGATATTTCTGACTGTTTCTTACGTATAAGACCTAAGTATCACTTTTTTAAAAAGGCCTATACTAGCAGAGTGAGCACGTGATAAGAACAGTCAATTTTCTTGACCCCCGTAGTAAAATTCTGAAGTATTTATAAAGTTAATGTCAAAATAACCAAGCCATATTCTCCTTAAAAAAACAACAAACCAAAATGAAATTAGAAGAGTCAATTAGTGGAAACAAGTTTAAAGTACCAGGATTATGAAGGATTTGAAGTTCTAGGGCACCCCACAGCCCATCCTTGGTTTCTGACATGACTGCAATGCACCTATGGGGATCAGGTAGGTTATAATCCTTCCCCTAAATATATATCAAGGCTCCCTGAAGCCTGCATCTTTTGTATTCACCACACAATTAACAGATAGAAGAAAAACTTTCTGTTACTTGATTAATGTGTTTACCTGCAGAGAATCAACTTTTTTGTACTTCCTACATGTTCTTACATCTGCACACAATGTTTTTACAGGTTTCAGTGCAACTTCTAGTTCAGCAGAACATACAAATAAAAAACATATAGGAAGGACAAAAATATATCCTCAGGTAGCTTTTCACTAGAAATATGGTCAATGAGGGAACAAATGGCTCTTGGTCACTGGTTGACATTCCCTGACCTGAACTTTACTATATGCACTAGTTTACTTACTGATAATACTATGAGAGGCAAAAAAAAAAAAAAAAAGAAAAAAAAAAATCAGTGTCCTAAAGACTGACTGCCCTCTGTCTGTCCAGATCAGGACTAAGGCACAGTGGTAGAGCAGGGAAGGGATAAACAAGAAGTGAAAGCAGAGTCCGAAAGCCACCCTTGGAAAACTGTATCCATACATAGCATTAAGCACAGGCTGCATTTGGATACAGACCTACCGTGCAACACCGTTCTTGAGAGAAGAGCTGTGTCAGACCTCCAAAAAGAAAAATAACATTTGGCATGGGGAAGAATAGTGGCGTTTCTTCCATACAGAGGGGCAGCACACATATCTGTCCCATTCAGCAGGTATGGAATGAGACGGTCCTTTTAGTTGAGATACATCTTTTGTTACAGAGTTTTCACAGACTAAGCTGTTTTGGAAGAGAAGTATCTGTCTCTCTTCTCCCCACACCCTCTAACTGGGGCAGCTGGGAATGGTGAACCTTAATTTTGAAAAATATTACCTGAGGGCACAGAAGGAGGCCCGAGTCAGAGGAAAGGAAAATAAGAAAATATGAGGATTAAGTGAGGTGAGCTCATGAAATTTCTTCATAAGCAGAAATGACAGGCTAGCTTGGGAAAATAAAGTTTCCCTAAGTATACATGACAGCAGAAGCTGACTGATCAAAAAAGCAAAGCTGGAACGGAACGCGGGTATCCAGATTTGACCTTTCCTTTCCAACCTTCCTTGAAACACAGGGCAAAATTGGAGTCTGTTTAATTCTGAGTGTCGGTATGAATTTTACAGTTTGCAGGTATGGCTTTGCTTATCTGATGACTTCAAAAGGTTTCCATTAATTAAAGAAAATAAAAAAATTAAAGAGGTGTCCTGGAAGTTTCTCCTCAGCAGACCTTAGACTGCAATTGGATGTGTTCTCATTAGAGAAATAGTGGGATTTTCCTGAGGAAATAATTAGCTTAATTTTGATAAACCCTTTTCTGCCAAATGGCTATAGACATACATTTTGAGCAAGAAAATAAACAGAAAATAAACATTTTTAGATCAAGCTACAGCTCCTAGGTTAATCAGAGTCTTCTGTGGAAAGTCTTTCTCTCTGGGTAAGCTAAGCCTTTATGTTGAAGGGGAGGTGACATGAGCTGTAGAAATGCTTTCATCTATGTTATACAATACTTCGTCTTAAAAAAAAACAACACAAAAAACCTCCCAAGAAGAGAGGATTAATTTCTCTCTCTCCCTTTTCCTTTATCATGATCTTACGTATACCTTGCTGTAGGCTATCCTGTCATTTTCAGATTTTTGATTCCCTCATGAAATAGACACTTACACTAAGTATAATCTTTCTCACAGATGTTACTGAAAGCACCAGGGAGCCAGGCTTGTGCCTATCTATCCATGGGATGTATTTATAGTCTGTCTACACAAATTTGTTTCAGAATTAGCAAGAATAACATTTTCTGAGTTCTCCATCAAAAAGCTGCCTCCAAGTTCAGGGATGACTGTGCCATAAAGTCAAGTCACTCATCCTACAACAGGCCTCAAACCAACAATGAATTTAAGGATGAGATTGAAGAGTAACAACTGATTTAGTACAAGTAGTTGCATGCTAAAATATACAGGTATGCCTAAGTGCTGCGTGGAGACTTTGCTCTACGTGCCTTGTCAAGTAGGAGTCTACATTGCTTTAAGTCAAATGGTAAAGTGCCAACAACCAGGTTGACTTCAGGGGAGCTGAAGTCAACAGCCTACACCTTAGCCTTCCAGAACGAGTGGGAGCTATGACATGAAGAAAAAAACCCACAAACCAATAGAAACTATTGAGAATATCTTAAATAGAGTTAGAAAAGACATCACTGAAAATTGGTCAAAACCTGATCAAATACATAAATTTATGGGTATAGCAAAAGAGGACACTGTCCATTTGGAAGGTCAGTCAGTATTTCTTTTCACTCTTGTGGCCCTACCTGGTTACTTATACAGAGCGTTTATACAGAAATAACTGCACTTATTTTGTCTAATTAAGTGTAATCCACTCTTACCTGGCAGGTCCATATTGATGTGATAATGAATCCGTCATCTCTGAAGACATTGAAGATTTCAATGATCCCCCGTGAATAACCAAACACGGAGATACTAGCATCTGATACTGCCAAGTTAAATGTGAGGTAGTCGGTGGGCTGCAGAAGATGTCTTTGTTTATACAGGACGAAAATCACTACGCTGTTTCCAAACCAAGACAGCCAACCTGGAAAAAAATTTAAATCCATGAAATCAAAAAGCAAATAAAGCAAGCAGCAGTTCAGTGTGTAAATGCATGATGGCTCTTCTGAAATGACTCTTTTGTTCCACTAGAAACAAATTAAACCAGCTTATCCATTGGAAAACCTACTCATGAAGCCATTTTAAGTAGCTGGGTACTTTACAGAAGCAGGAACAAGCGAACAACTCCAGCAATAAAACAGAAAAAACATGAAGAGCTGCTGCTGCCTCTATCAAAGATCCACCATTTAAAAGCCTGGGGTTTTTAAAAGTTTTTTTCCCCTAAGTGGGCACATGAAACTCATGAAACATAACTTGTGGGGAAAACAGGAAGGATTGGCATAGTGGAGCAGAGACTACAAGAAGTCTGCCGAAAGCTGCAGCTGTTTAGGTACATTGTATATGATAATGGATTCTGAAAGTTCATGCACATAACCTGAGAGCCGCTTTACCACTCCTCTCTCAAGAAGTGCTGCCTTTTCCAGCTAATACGATTAAATTTCTTCTCTTAGAACAGTCTAGGATCTCCTTACAGCAAAGCCTGTCCCAGATGGGAATATTTTTCAGTAATACACCTGTTAATCTCTATGAAGAGAACATTTAGAGCAGACCTTTCAGAAGCTTTAAAGTCTTTTTAAATCTGTTTTAAAAGAAAGTTTTGTCCTCTCTTACTCTTCAGGAACAGAGATGCCCGACTCGTCCGCGTCTAGTTACATGAGGAAAATGCAAGGGAGGTGACTAAATCTGGTGTAAGTCAGCCACTTGCTCATCTGGAGAGACGTAGAGTTTCCAAATGCGTGTCTGTTGCCCCACCCATCATCGTAAGACCTTGGTAGGTCGCATCCCACTTTTTGGAATGATGTAGACAAGTAGAAAAGACTGACTTCTAACAAAGTGTTTACTCATAAGCATCAGGCTCAGTGTTGAAAATGGGGCTTAGCCAGTGAAGGGGATGGCTCCAGGGCAGCTGCTGGAGTGGGGCAGAGCAGCAGGTCGGGCAGCATCCAGCTCCCTGCCAGGTCATGTTTCCGAGCCCCAAACCAGTGCTGCCACTGCTGGCATAGGTGGCCTCATTTCACTTTGGCAATGGGGAGCAAAACACCACCTCTTTTGAGTGCCTGCAGCCTCGGACAGGCTTAGGAACCCATCAGCGCTTGGTTTTGTTCCCCACAGTTGGTGTCAGGGTACCACATTAACTATCAGGTGAGGGAGAAAACTGTTGATCCATAGCCCTCTACCCAGCCACAAGCAGTAGGTATCCCAGAGTATGGGTGCTGTATATTGACACAGCAAGAGGTGAATATATGCACTGAAGAGGGACGTGGCACCAGGGCATTGCACAGCGTCTCTGGAGATTTGAATATTTCATATTTCATGAGATGAAAGATGGCTGATAAATTTAATGTAGCGAGAGGGCAGCTGCCTTCTTTCAGGAAGCATCAACAAACCCACACGTCGGGAACCAAGCGCTTCTCTGCCAGGCGGCCTTGGTTAGGAAGGGAGGGGAGGAAATTGGCTCTGAATCTCAAGCCGTCTGGGAGCATCAGGAGCCGAAATGCCAAAGAGCAAGGTGCTTGCTCCCCAAAAAGAGAGGCTGGGTACTTACCGCCCGGTGAGGTGCTCTGGGTAGCCTGGAGCGGGAGGGGAGGTGGTTGACGGGACAGTCTCTGTACGGCACTATGAACTGCTTTTTCTGCAGAGCAATTTCCTTTTAATAACTTCTGCTTGCAAAACCACCAAACTGCTGCTGCTCTGGCTTGCTTAGCAAATGCACATGGTTTGCTAAAGAGCTTTTGAACTGGGAAGAGCTGACGTGTCAGCATACGGTATTAACCAGAAATAGTCACTGGTGCAGTGGTACGCTGAGGTACATACATGTCTTTTATATACATCTCATTATAAGGATAAGATCAACAATAATAAATACATCTTATTCTGTCCACTAGGTGACAATGTTTCTTAACCAAGTCTCGTTCCCAACAGCTGCATGCACTTGAAGTCAGGAATCACTTCTGGCTTTTGTCCGAGTCTAGGTATGATAAAGACACATGCAGGGCACTGGAGGAGGACAGCTTTGGGAATCGTAGAATAGTTTGGGTTGGAAGGGACCTTCAAAGGTCATCTAATCCACCACCACCACCACTCCCCTCCCTCACAATGGGCAGGGACATCTTCAATGAGATCAGGTTGCTCAGAGCCCCATCCAACTCAGGTTGCTGAGAGCCCCATCCAACCTGACCTGGAATGTTTCCAGGGATGGGGCACCTACCACCTCTCTGGGCAACCTGTGCCAGTGGTTCCCCACCCTCATTGTGAAACATTTCTTCCTTATTTCTAGTCTAAATCTGCCCTCTTTCAGTTTAAAACCATTACCTCTTGTGCTGTTGCTATGGACCCTGCCAAAAAGTCTGTCTCCATCTTTCTTATAAGCCCCCTTTAAGTACTGGAAGGCTGCAACAAGGAGTGCATCAGGATAGTTCGCAATGCAAACGTGGTAGCTGTGTTGCTTGTCTATGTCAGCTCTACCTTCTGTAAGGCAAGACAATTTTGAAGGCAGCAGATATGGAAATATTTTCCCTGTCAATACGAACTAAAATTCTGCTAAAATAGCAGAAAAAATAAAATGGCACTGACTTTGTAAATAGCAGCATTTGTCAACACAGTGTAATGGATAGGAGGGCAACTCTTAAAGCGTCAGACACGTGCACTTCCTGGGAAAATACAGAGCAAATTCCCCCTAGACTGGAGAGGAGGGGAGTTTTCAGTTAAAGTATCTTAGGGAAGAAACTGAGCAAAAAGTAATGCAAAACGATACACATATTTTAGATCAAGGTACAAAGGCACAGTGTTTGTGATCACTTTTGAAACTACATTCACACGCTGAGGGTAGGGATGAGGAAAGCATTGAGCGCGCAAATTACCAAGTGAGTGTGCACAGCACTTCTGAGGAGAGGCACAATCCTTTTAACTAAAGCAGGACGAGAACCTGCACTAGAGTATCCAGTCCCTAAAATGGCTGATCTCTCTGGGAAGTAGACCATATTAACACTCTGATCAAAAAACCGGAGGAACTATATACTCAGCAAACTTTGGAGTAACCAGAGACAAAAACAGTGGTTGCATAAAAATGTGATCAACCAGAGCAGTGACTGTGGGATGCCGGATCTCTGCACGATCAGATAGGTGTGCCGGTCTGGGGTTGCTGACTATATTGACTAACCAATTTAAAAAACAAAACAAAAAAAACCCAAACAAACAAACCACCAAAAAAACCCACCATCACCACCACAAAAAACCTCAACCACCCCAAAACACAAAAACAACGCCTCAAAACGACCTTCCACCCAAACACTGACAGTACAACATGGAAAAAGGTTAAAAATGCAATGTGGAGGAAGCACAGCAAGAGCTGTGACACTGTCCATGAGGGTAGGGATCTCCTCAACTGGCAGTATATGCCTCAGGGTAGATCACAGGAAGATCAAGAGCCTAGAAGGAAACCTCTGAACTCTGAAGTCCTACAAGGTGTTAGTGTCTCCAGGTGGCACCTCAATAAAACAGAGGATAGAAAAGAAACAACAGAGGGAACGAGTTCCTTTTTTTCTTTTTTTTTTTCTTTTTTTTTTTTTTTTTTTCTGCAGCACACCAGCAATATTCAATCACAAGAGTATGTGGAAAAAAAACCCAACAAAAAACGAAACTCAAAATCCAACCCCAGCTTCCTAAGGTAATCCTGGTGAGAAAGGACATGTTCCAACTGAGATCAAAACATGTCTGAAAGAGAAAAAAATACCGGACAGCAGGAAACTGAGCACTTCCACCCAACGTAAGGTTCAGAGAGGAATCACCACATTTCCCCCATAAGCTGTAACACTGTCCAATATCGGCTGCTCATCAACAGGAGATGCTCACCCTTCCGAAGTGGCAAAATACACAGATAACGTACAATTACTGAAGATGATTAACACAGGGCAGGACCGAGAGCAGCTGCGGTGGGACTGGCAGTACCGGAGTAAAGTAGGTTAAGTGGGTGTTGATAAATGCTAAATATTGAAAAGCTAAGGAGTCACCTTTACTCCTCAGACACCCAACAGAAAAGTACTTTGTACCACATTTGCAAACATTGAGATGCAAAAAGAATAGGATGGACAGCAGTATTAAAAATGTTGTATCGCCCTTATATAATTCAGTAGTAATCCTTCCCCGGGAATAATACCACCTAATAGGGCATTTTAATCCACAGGTGTAAAAGTGATTGACAAAGGAGGCTAGTGCTGTTATCCATGATTTCCGAGGGAGGCACAGGAAGGCTGCCAAGCAAGCTGACGGTAGCCGGGAACCGAAACCCTATTGACAAGGTCCGGTATCAGTGCGCTGCCTGCCAGCCTGCGCAAAGAAAGCGCTGAAAAAGTAGACGGCAAGAGTGAGCAGGGATGTTGAAAATCTTTCTGCTGAAAGCGACTGAGAATTTAGGGAAAGGCTCCTACCCAACAGAGAAACAAAGTCAGGAACAGGCTCTCAATTGGAAGACTGGTAGCAACAGCAAAAAAACCCCTGGCCAGTCATATGAGGGAGCATGATAGCTTCGTAAATGAGATTATTTATTGTCACAGCAGGGGACTATCCTTGCTGACCTAAGATGTTCTTTCTAGTCTTAAGTGCAACTGATTAATTCATTAGCTGATGGTGCAGCCGTTTCCCAGCCATTCATGAAAGGATACGCAGATGTGAACAGATTGGGGATAAATTGGAACGACTCTGATTTATCTTGCGGCTACTCTTCTAATTAAGTCTCCTAAGATAGAGGCCGTACTTTTTTCTACTAGAATCTATGTTTTTATTCTAAACACAACTTTCCTCCCCCCTAGTTCCTACAGGTAAAAAAAAGAAAGTCTCATGTAAACATATTAAAATACTTAGCATTTTACATTGTAACTTCCATAGACCTTTCTCAAGCATAAGCTGAGAGCTGGTAAGCTGCTTGCAATATGTGATAAGCTTATAAAAAGAAAAAATCTGTTTAGATCAGTCATTTAAAAACAGAAACATTTTTGTACATGCTGTTTAAAAGAACAGATGTAATAAAAAATATGTTTTCTTGTGTTTTCCTGTGAGTTTTTATGGTTGGAAATCTTGATGACCTAGCAAACCTGCATTCCTTGATATTCCATAAAGTTTCCTTGTATCCTGCAATGAGTCTGCCCCAAATAGACAATATTTAAACAAACAAAACAAAACTGCGCTGGGATCAAAGTGAGTTCATATTGGGTGCCATTTCCAAATCCTTATTATACACTTACAATAGCTGTCTTGCAGCAGAACCAGAATAAACATGCGGTATTGTGACTGCTAACAACAGCGGATAATGTTCTAGTACTTAGATCTTTCATAGATTCTGTTTGAAGAAGTTTAATTATTTTTAAATTTAAAAAGAATTTAAAGCAAGCAGTAAAAAAAAGTTTAAAAAAATTAAAACTATAGAACTGTATCTCCTGTCTCTGCAGGAGGTAGTTGTAGGATGCCAACTGCCTCGTCAGCAGTCAAAACTCTGGAAAAGAACATTAATTCAGTGCTACTGAGACATGAGAAGACACAGAAGTGCCATGCACTTCTGATAAGGTACTTTTTTAATCTTATCACAGATTGAGTGAACATTAGTTAAAAGCTTACAGGCTTGGCTATTTTTTTCCTCAAGATTTCTGCATTGGTTATGAATCTCTTTTTAACAAGAGAAAGCTGTACCTCTCTGATCTTGTAGTAGCTGAAGAAAAAAAGTTGCATTTTCTAACATCCCGTTCTGTTAGGGGTGAAACACAAATGAATCACTTCTTTGAACTTTTTACCAAACTCTACTTAGGAGCTCCCTTTCACGTCCAAGCCGAGTACATACCTAAAGCCAGTAGGTAGAAACCTATGATAGTCTCTCCTTGCTCTGTTACAGCTGCCTCTCTGCTCAGAAAACTGATGTTGTTGTTCCTCCAGGGTGCCTGCGGAGAAAACTGGGCAGACATTTTCAGCAGAGCTTATGACCTGGAAATTGCCCTTTCCCCAGTACGTCCCAGCGAAATAAAATGGTTCCAGCCTCTTCCTCAGTTTCTGCTCCCTGTATTTGAGGGAGCTCTTCAATGAGACTAACAATCTAAAGAAGGAAATCTCAAGGGACAGGAGCTTTGCAGCCTTCTGACCTGTTCTTCTTCACTAATCCTATCTATTAATACAGCCTGTGAATCTGTGGCCTGCCCAAGACAGCAGATTTCCCCATATCCTTGTTACTACTACTACGTGCCAAATCTTTAATGAAGAGTGTGTATCTGACAAAAAGATGACTTTTTAAAGATGATTTTTTTAAAGATGACTCTTTAAAATAGAGTGATACCACACAATTTCTCAGGTTATATACCACAGGGTCACGGGCACATCCACAAACATAGTGCATATTGATATGTTGCTAAAACAACAGTACTTTTGTCTTTTTGCCCTCACTAAAGAGCAGTAGACTTTTAGTATAAAAGAAATTGAGGAAAAATCTCACACAGACTTAAAAAAAAAACAAACCACAGCAAAAAACAACGGAGATGTGCCAGCACCTGAGAATATGACTTTAACACAGCAGAAGGAATCAGCTATGAAGTTACTTTACCAGCAGGGTAGTTGTTAATTTAGAAAGAAAGGAAGATAATTTCCAATACAGGTTGAAAAAAAAAATTAAGTCCTTAGAGTCATATTTTTAGACTGCTAAGCACCCTCCAATCTAGTACACTCCAAGTATAGTACAGTTGAATTTTCCCCCGCTGTTGAAAAACGAGATCTTGTCTTGTTGAGGAGACATATTACATGTGATTTAAGTGAGTCAGTCTGCAGTATTTTTAGTCTTTACTGACATATGATCATTTTATTTCAGATACGGTCTCTCTTCTCAATCAGGTTGTAGTCATAATTAAAAAATCTGTGTCTGGATTATTTCTTCTGGAGCAACAAAGCGACACACTCTTACTGCACTGAAATCCCGGTGCCACGACCGGCTTGTCCCTTCCCACTCCGGGCAGCAAATCAGCGCCGGTGGTGGCACCCGGCCGAGGGAAGCAAAGCACCTCACTGGGAACCTCCACTGTCCATGGGCTGGTTTTGTCCCTCCTGAGGTGGATTAGTTCCTCCCGTCAAGCTTTCCCTGTGTTTCTTACGATAGCCTCGCCGCACGCGAGAGGAATAAAGGCAACGTGACAAGAATAAAAGGGGAGAGCAGTCCTTTACAGCAAGAAGGAGGGAGAAATAGCCACGTTGTGATGAAAGATGGAAGACTCTCACCTTCCTGCTAACGGTGATGACAGTGACCCATGCACTTGTTTCACTGAAGTCGCTTGCAAGGGTGCTAGGCTTCACTTGTCCCCAGCCATCTCGCTCTTGTACCAGTTACCAGAGTGCTGCGCTCCCTTTCTCCGACCTGAAGTCTGCAGCATGGGGCTGGCAGCTCCCGCAGATCCCATTTAAGCAGCCAAGTGGCCCGATTTTCCCAACCGCTAGCCACAGCCCATCTCCTGCTGACTTTTTGTAGAGACCTCTTCCTGAGTCTGTCTACAGGCGGCTGGAGTTTAACTCTGACAAGCCTCCTAAAACATGCTGCTTAGCAAACTGACAGAGAGACACAGGACTTACCAGCTTGATGATTAAAAATGGCCCTAGCAGTGCTCTCAAGGCCCAAGTGCTTCATTGCTGTGCTCCTGCAACAGTCCCAGGTTGCCCCCAATATTCCCACCACCACCCCAGCTTCGGTCATCGCTTGACCACGTGCACGCCCTACACAAGGCTGTCCGGCATTCCCGGCATAGGCGGCCTGTTCTCTGCCGTAGTGCTGCTCTCTGAGGTTGCCATCTAAGTGCCCTGCGGTCCCCAGCAAAGCCCTGGCCATGCATCAGCTTTCATAGGGAGTACAGGCACAACCACAGCTTTTCAACACTGAGCTGCAGCAGGCATTTCTAGCTACTTATCCACCTGTCTGTAAGTGGATCGCTGTTCAGATGGAGGGTTGGGATAAAACTGTGCCTGAAGGCCGTGCTCAGGGACATTCAAAATTACTCAAGGCTGCCCACAACAAAGCCCAGCAATATCACCTACTCTTCAGGACAAGGAACTTGGGTCAAAGAAGAAGTCCTCATCTGAGAGCCCATCACAAAGCCTCTGTCTGTGGATGCTCATGTTTTCATTGGAGTGTGTTTCATCACCTACCAAGAGAAATATGTGGAAAAGGATGACACTTCACACTGGGAAAAAACTGTCTACCTAGTCCGTGCTCCCTCTTCTCTCTCCTAGAAGATGAATCAGCCACCCAACAGCCCAATTGTGGGACAAGTGGGAGCTACAGGCTCCACAGAAGGGACACAAGCAGTGCAAACGTGCCTTGGGAGACTGGTGCCCGCACTCCTGCTTGCTGTACGCTCCCTCTGCTCGCCCAAACCTCTCACACGCGC